TTTTTATATTGTAAAATTATGTATAATGAATATAAAAAATAATGAATAACTAACAAAGTAATAATTAATTCAAAATGGGGTCCGTATTTTTTCACTTAGTTTTTTTTTTTAAAATCTATGGTAAAAACGCATTAGAATGATTATTTATGGTTGATTACTGAATTAGATTTTTATTATATTTGTTATAAGATAATTTATGTGTATTCATATTTTTGAAAATATTTTTTTAATAAATATAGTTTTATTTATAATGATAGATGTAATTCTTTTTTATTTTATATATGCACTATGGATGTCAAATCGAAAATTATTAAAATATGATTATTTTGAGATATAACATACAAAAAATAAAACAAAAATAAAAAATTATAAATATTTAAAAGTAAAAAGAATACATATTTTTTATAACAATTATTATATGAACTGAATAAGAAAGAGTAAGAGTAGTATATGGCAGGGCCGGCCCTGGGGTAGGGCGGGCCGGGCGACCGCCCAGGGCCCCTTCCTACCCAGGGACCCACTTTTATATATTTTTTAATATATGTGCATATATATATATTAATTATATAATATGAATATAAAATTGATCTTAAATCATATTTTTTGTTATTTCTTAACAATGATTTTATATTTCATCCACCTTCTAATTTTCATAATAAAATTAAATAGTAGTTATTTTTAGTGAAATTATTTTTTTTGCATATTTTTATTTATTCTTTTAATACTTTGTTAATTTTTTCTTCTTGCTTGAATATACAAAATATTATTTTATGATTGGATAATTCAATTATGTTAGTGATAGCCAGTAAAAGGGTTAAGTGAATTCAACCATTTTCAGACGAGTTTCAATTGTGATTTTTATTTAACTTTGTTAAATATAAGCTAAAAATTAATACTTTTGAATAAAAAAATCTATATAACTAAGTATTATGTATTTCACTAAACTTTTGTCATATATATAAAGTAAATGAAAGTTTGGAGCTTTGACTGCTTTTTTCTTCTTTGAGTAAAAATAATTTTCTCTGTTTTTATTTGCGATTCTTAAGAAATTTATCAAATATTATTTATAAAATTTATCTATATCTTTATTTTAATTTTCTCTGCTTTTATTATTGCGAGTTACATTTTATTTTTTATATTAAAAAAAAAAGTCAAGGACAACACTTAGAGTATTTCGCCTAGGGCCTTATAAAGTTCAGGACATGCTCTCTGATATATGGTAACTTGAGAAAAAAAAAAAACTAAAATAGTTTATGTTAATTTTCAAGCCTAAAAGCGAACATGTACACGTGTCAATACAAAAGCATATAATTATGCCAAATAAACTTCTGAAACATATGTGCCTGTCACTTAAGCTCAAGGCTTTCAGAAATTATATTTAGGGGCAATTTCTAAAATTATCATCAATATTTTATGACAAGCAATTATAGAAATATGCAAAAAATTGAGAATTATATCACCTTGATTTTATAACAAATCAACCTAAAATTCGACTTTCATACCAATACCAAATAAAATTCAAACCACTTATTTTATTTTCAAAATTAAATACACTTATATTCACACCAGGTGAAATTTGTATACATTTAAATTTGGACATTTCATGCCTAAATAAAACCGCCTCATTTTATTAATCATAATACTCAACTATTATTTTATTCTAAAATTTATTGTCATCTAATATTATTAAAATATATTTTTAAACTAACAACCAAATTTTATTATATGCAAATATTTGATATGTCTAACAACTAAAACTTTATACTCTAATAGCATACGCAACACAAATTTC